AGTAAAAGCCCCTTCCATAATATTCAAGACCCTACATGATCTGGCCACAGCCATATCCCTAAATCTCATACCTTACTGCACTCTCTCCTTCATCCACCCTGCTACAGCTGCATTGACCTCCTCACTGGTCCCCAAATAGGCCAAGCATATTCAAGATTTGAGGCATTTGCACTGGCTGTCCCCTCTTCCTCCAGACATCCACATGGCCAATGTCCTCACCCTCTTCACTTCTTTGTTCAAATGTCACCTCATCAAGGAAGCCAATGCTGGCCACTATTTTCAATTACAGCCTTCCTTCATGACTCTCAATCTCCCCTTATTCTTCTCTATTTTTCCCTTTTTTTCTCCAAAACTTACCACTTTCTAACATAACAAATAATTTACTAATTTATATTTACTGCATTCCCCAACTCTCCTAGAATACAAACTCCACAAGGCCAGGGATCTTTGGATTTGATTCCCTGGTATATCCTGAGACACTCAAGCCCTGGATGACACATAGTAGGTATTAAAAAAAATGTTGGATGAATGGATTCCATGTGGCATTCCTCAAATCGCAGAGATGTGGTGAGTCATTCTGGTCTCTATATTACTTTAATTCTTTGTCCATACTTCTGTTCTAGTTCTTTTTGTCCTGATTCATTACTATTTATTTATCTGTCTTTCCCATTACAGAGCCATGATCTTCTTGGACATTTTCTATATGTTTATTTGCCTGTCATTTAGCAAAAGGTCAGACCATGCCAACTTAATGAACCTACAAATGTACTATATATGCATAGTTCTCTGTCACCAAATCACTAACTCTGCAAGTCAGTTATTATTTTAAAAGTCTCTCCTCAACCCCACTCTAGATACATCTATACACACACTCTACTAATTGAGATAATTTAAAACTATTTTTCACATATTTGCTTAATTAGCTTGCAGTGACCTCTGCAAAAACACTGGCCTCTGATGATTATAAGAGGTAGTTTTCTGGCATGGACACCAAAGCATCAAAGCGTCAGCTGGAACTAAAGAAAGCATAACACAACTGGTTTTAATTATACATGACAGGCAGCCGAATATATCTGACACAGGTCTTCTCCCCAATACATCACTCAAAGCAGGCCAGTTTCAGGAAATGGTAGAGATAGAAAAAAAACAGGATTGGGCCAAAATGTGTCCATAATACAAAGCAGATCATCTTTCACATGGATGACCTTATTCATTTTGTTTTATATTTTTATGATGGTCCCAAATCTATAAAATTGCTGACCCCTAAAGACTTGGCATGCTCTTATGCTGGTGTTTAGGAGTGGTGGCTCAGGTTCTCAGAAGAGGAGGTAGGTGAAGATTGCACCCATTCATGAATCACTACATAAACTAAGGGGTCCTCCAAAGTTCATCTAGAATTGCAGGCATGTTTGCAATTAATTCATCTGTGAAGTACAGGTGAGCACTTTTTTCTTGTATTCAATATTCACAGAAGGATTAACTTCATCTATAACCTAGTTTGTTTCTTTGGATTTGTTGTCTACCAGGAAATGGGAGAGGATTAGGAGTTGCTTTGTTATGATGTACCCACAATTTTAATATATCTCTCTTACGAAATCCACCCTCTCACCTGATGAATCTATGGGATTTGGGTTGGCTATGCCCTTGGATTGGCTCTTATTAGAAAAAGAGGTCTCCTAATTAGACAGCATTTCACCTCAGAACATAATTTCCTTGCTACAATCTCCTCCCAGATGCTTGATACCTGAACTCACTGCCTTCTTGTTTCTGTGCATTTCCTGGTTCTTGTGAGCTTGAATTGTTTGATCACTGTTTTGACCAGTCTTACACATCCCAGTGCTCATGAATCTTCAGAAACCCTTGTTTTTTACCCACTGCTTTGCTCTGATTCATGTTTGATGCCAGAAACTTAAACTGCTCTTGAGTCTTTCTACTTGTAACATCACCTTTTATACTTTCAAGAAAAGCTTGAATTTCTGCTGTACTAGGGCCTATGCCTATGACTGAGACTCTAATCATGAATGCTCCATTAAAGAGCTCAGAATTTAACAGAGGAAATATCAAGTAGCCTTGATTACAATGCCACATGATGAGGACTGTGATATGTTAAGCATGGGGTATGAAGGTAGCACAGAGCAAGGGCACCTGACCCAGCACCTAGGGGCTATGAGAAGCTTTCCTAGAGTCAGCAACATCTAAGGAGTCTGGGCCAGACAAAAAAGAATGAGAGATGTTCTTTGCTAAGGAAGTAATATCTATAACTGCCATGAGCTATAAATCATAGCTCCTTTAGGGAACTAAAGTAGTTAAGTACAGCTGCAGAGGATGTGGAAAACCTGAAGCTGCAGAGGGAAAGCAGGGCTAGATCACAAAAGGTTTTATATGTCATTCTAAGGAGATGGGAATTCACCCCATCAGTGATGGGGAGTCATTGAAAGTTTATACATGACATAGTCAGATTTATATTTCAGAAAGACTGCATCAGTGTGGAGAATGGATTTCACTATCTAGCTATTTCCCTGAAACAGGCCCATACTCTCACCTTCCTTACCTTATCTTTCTGTGGCTCTGAATAGCCCAGCTCCACACTTCTTTTCCCATCAGTATTCTCAAACACAACTAATTATCAGAGTCAGTTTGAGACCTTATAAAAAATACAGATTATATCTGAGCCCACTTCACAGAACTAGATTCTCATGGGGACAGGACCTGTCAATCTCTACTTTATAAAAGCTTCCCACATGATTCCAAGGCAGGTGGAATATGGACAGAATTGGGGGACTAACAGACTCTCACTTGCACCACAACACAGATGTATCAATGAACATCAGCAGTGTGTTTGGCTTGTTGAATTAGACTGAAGATGCCTGGAGTAGGTCTCACTCTAAATGTCTTCCTTCTACAGAATCTACACCTCTAGTCCCAAGACTAGGAAAATCAGTCCTTACTTAAATCCTCTAGAACTTTCTCTTATTGTTTGTATAACACATCCAAACCTTAGCATGACCCATTAGACAGTATAATCTGGCTCCAGTGACCTCTCCTCTCCAGCCACTCTTCCCTTTACCTTGTACTTGTTATTAGCAGTATAGAGAGGGGATGTTAATGCAATGTACTCCCCAACTTCTACTTTCTCAATTAAGTTAAGGATGGATATGGAGTTGGGAAATTGTGTAAAGCAGTAAAGATCTGAAAACTATCTGAGTAAAATTGTAAAGTGACTTGACTTAGGAACATAAAGGGACTGCTGGTCAACCTCCAAGATTCATCTGAGTTAAAGAACACATTTCTTGGACAACCATGTTATTTCCTCCAAAGCTCAAAAACCCAGGAGCAGAGAAAATTGATAATTTGTCAACTAACATTTGAATATTGGCAAAACAGAAAGTCAAAAGATAAGAGAATTAAGGGTGCTGGTATAAAAGGAAAAGAAAATTTCTGGAATGGGCCTTAAAAAATAATTTGACTAATTTGCTCCAAGGCAGAGGATTAAAACATGAATGCCCTTGTTTTGCCATACTCAGTTTGTTTAGCAATGGCTTGCCATTTGATTTAGTTCTGGTCTTTGGCTTGTTCTCTAATGGTTTCAGCTCACATTCTGTTATGTTACCCTAGAGCATGGTGAGAAACACAAGAGGTAGAAGGTGCCAGAGGCAAAATAAGTGACTTAATTTTCCAGGACATAAATAAAACTAACACAGTAATCCTCTAACAAGGTAATAAATGTTTCATAATGATTGTTTTCCTCCTAAGTTAGAGCTCTGAGTTACAAGTATGATTTTTATGGTTATAGCATATCCATGCAGTAGACCTTCTTTACTTAAATTGATATTTTGTATCTCAGACAAGGCTCAATATATATCAAGATACAAATATATGTCAATATACAAATATGTATATTTTCAACATGAAGATATTGGAGTGCCTTAAATCAGTTATATTTAAACATTCTGCTAATAAAAATTAAATTACATTTTTTAAAATGATTTTAGATTTTTTTTTGAGGTGGGGAGGGGCAGAGGGAGAGGGAGAGAGAAGATCCTATGCCTAGCGTGGAGCCTGATGCAGGACACAATCTCACAACCCTGAGATCATGACCTGGGCCAAAATTAAGAGTTAGATGCTTAAACAACTGAGCCACTCAGGTTTCCCTAGATTATTTTTAATTAAATTAATCCAGTTAGCTTAGTTCTCATGGTTTATCATTTCCCTTCTCTTTCCAATGTACATTCCTATCAATGAAAGAAACAGGAGTGGCTACAATGAAGCAAGAAGTGTTGGAGGCCAATGGCTAAAATTAGATTATCAAGGACATTTACTTACATGTTCATAGCTGAAATTTCAACGTATAATATTTTCTCCTGAAAGGAGACACTTCCTCATCACTGAAATGTAGACTTCTGTTATCAAATTACATCCATATTACATCATTTGGTGGTGAAATTGACCCAAAATAGAAAGTGAAACCACATATACTTTTTCTGGGAAAAGAAAGGCTAAAGAAAAAATTAAGCAATGGATTCATTTTCATAAGATTATTTTGACTGGTGCCTTCTTAATTAGGGTGAGATTTTTGTCTAAAAGAAGTAGTAGTCTCAAAGAGGAATGAAATTGAATGTATCTAGCATGAGGGCAGAGAAAGGGGTCTAGACTTTACCCCACACATCCTGGGATACTCCATAATGCAAATCTTCACGGACCAAGGCCATTTAGAATGTGTGAACATTGATCCCTTTTCTGTTTTTGTGTACACTTGTATAGTTTGGGTGTATACAAGCAGTTCTTAAAACATTTTTCCTGATGTTTCACTCTATTTATCTTCCAGAAAATCCATCGAGTGTGAGCATGTCCTTATAAAATTAGTGGAAACTTGTACGTACTACATCAATCATTTCCAGACAGGCCTTGCATCTCTTCTCTCCATCACCCCATGAATTATGAGGAGAGGACCTCTGTCCCAAAGCACCCTGTACAGTCCAGCCCTACATTCCCACTGCCGGTCAGGAGTGTCCATCACTGTGCAATGCAAACATCCACACTGGGATGCACTGTTCTGGAAAGTTGTCCTGCTTCTCCTGGCCCAGCACCACCAGCCCACTCTTCCTAATGAGGCTCCGGAGGATGTCCATGTCCCAAGTCACACTGCTGTCAGAGAGATCGAAGAGACAGCTCTCCCGGGCCACGCTGTCCTTCAGTATGATGACACCATTTTCTTTCATGCCAGCTCGGCACCGGGAAAGAAATGCAAGAAGGTCTTTATCGGTCAGGTATCCTACAGATGAGGCCAAGTAGATGCAGGAACAGGATGAAATGGTGGGTGGGAGGGAGGAGAGTAGGAAGGTAGGAAAGACCACAAGGCTAAGAATAAAGAGACCATTTGTTCACTCATTCGTGAATTATTTAATAGCCTGAATTGGTCTAGTTGCAGGTCACTTTGAGAATTTAAGTAAGAGGACAGGTATCCTCTCTGAGGAGGCTCCTTGTCCCATCTATAAAATAAGTATTCAACTACCTAGTCTATCTACCTCACAGGCACAAAATAAACTATTGCCTAGCCCAAGAGTCCCTGCCATTGTCCCCAGACAACCTAATTTTGTCATCACTCCTCTGTGTCTCCTAGACACACACACTCACTTAGACCAAATTCTAATTCATTGCTACCTCATTTCCTGGGAATTTAAATCTAAGAAAGTCTAGTTTTGCCAATAAATGGGGATAAACTTTTTTTGACTCCACTTTTTAAAGTTTTTCAAGTATTTGGTTTTCTTCTTAGAGTTAGGATGGTACAAAGGTACTCCATCATGGGAATTTTCAGGCTTGTAGCAGAGGATCCTAGGGGAGAGATTGGGAGTACCAGAGCTTTGGGGGTTTCTATGATTCCTAAGTCTAGCTAACTGCTCTAAGCACAACTACAACTATATCTCCTTTTACGTCTTTGCTTCCTCTCCATAAATCCTCAAATTAGCCCCAGGTATTGTCTTCTCTATCTGGGAAGGGGAGAAAGGCAGATGTTAGGCCATGCAGGACTGAACAGAGACCCACTGAATCCAGATGACATCATATCTGCCCAATGGGGGTGTAAATTCCTGCAGGCTGTAGCAGTGGTACCTTTTTACCTTGTCCCCATTGACCTGCAGGTAGTTCTGGGCTTCAAGAAGGAACGATTCCATCATGTCCACCAGTTCCATGCTGTTGAAAACCGGCAACAAGACATGCTTGCTGACCCTTCCTATCCCAGAGCCGCAATCCAAGGCTCAGTCTGTCCCAGCCCTCCCAGGGCACTGAAGAAAGGTACCTTGTGGAACACTTCAAATAAGACATTGACCCTGAGTCTAGGATACTCCAATAACCTCTTTAAACCAACTTTATTTTGGTCAGTTTCATGTAATAAAATGCACTATTTTAAATGTACCATTCAATGAGTTTGAACAAAGTATACAGCCATGTACCCACTACCATGATCAAGTTCTAGAACATCCAGTTACCTTTTTCAAAAAATATCCAAACTTGCTAGTTTTCACTTTCTTTATTTTACCCAAATAAAGGTCTTCAAAAGAATTTCAAAGTAAGATTTTAAAAAATAATATCTTATGTCTAAAAACTTGGTAATTTTCTCAAAGAAATGGGCCACTGAAAGCCCTTTAAAAGGAGAATTGTATTAACTGCAAATTCGGGTCAAGCCCACAGCTAAATGGACCTGCAAGGTAGCTTATTGCTATGTTTTAAAAAAGGAAGGAAGGAAGGAAGGAAGGAAAGAAGAGAAGAAAGAAGAAGAGAGGAGAAGAGAAGAGAAGAGAGGGGAGGGGAGGGGAGGGAAGAGGAAGAGAGGGGAGGGGAGGGAAGGGGAGGGGGAAGGCAAAG